AAATAATAAATAAATAAGTAAATGGATTGAATTCAAGGTTCATCCAAGTCTTTCAACAGATGACCACTGACCCATATATAACTAACATGTTTGAAAAGGAACAAGGTCAGCCACTGTGTAAAATTGTAATACTAGGCATGTGGGATGGCTCACACCTGTAATCCCAGTGCCCAGGAGACTGGGGGAGCAGGATAAGGAATTTGAGGGTACCCAGGGTTACAAAGAGAAACCCTACCACAAAAAACAAAGGAAAAATAAATAAAATACCTTGTAACACTGTATGTATGTATGTGTATATATATATATATATATATATATATATATGTTTAAGGGAAAATTGAATCCAACATTCTAGGAGCCAGGGAGATGGCTCAGTGGGCAAAATTTTTGCAACACATGCGTGAGAGAATCTGAGTCGAATCCCCAGCAGCCATGTAAAAACAGCAGGTACTACAATGTACACCTTTAATCCCAGTGCTGAAGAGAAGTAAGCAGGAGGATCCTGGAGCTCACTGGCTAGCCAGTCTAGGCAAATTGGCAAGCTCCAGGTTCAATAAGAGACTCATGTCTCAAAAAATAAGGTGAAGGGCTGGCAAGAGGTCTCAGTAGGTAAGGGCACTTGCCACCAAGCCTTGCGGCCAGGATCCCACCTCCAGGACCCACATGGTGGAAGGAGAAAGCTGATTCCTACACTTTTGTATTTATTTATTATTAGACACGCTAAATACAACTGAATCATGCCTCCCTCACTCTACATTTGAACCACTTTGTTAATTTTGTGCTTCTTCATTACTAATCTAGTCTACTGTTTAACCTCAAACCCTTTTTAATAATTCTTCAAAGACAGCCAAGTGCCAGGTGTGGTGGCACACAACTTTAATTCCAACAGTCAGGAGGCAGAGGCAGGTGGGCCTCTGAGAGTTCTAGACCAGCCTGGTCTACATAGCAAATTCCAGGCCAGCTAGGGCTACAGGGAGACCCTGTCTCAAAAAGCCTGAATAAACAAATAAGCAAACAAACAAACAAACATAAAGGCAGTCAAGTTACATAGACCATGAATAAATGTTGGTTTTCAAAGAAATAGAAAAATGGGTGAGTGGAAGAAACCCCTTGGAAAAGAATATTTATGAACACCAACTGAGAGAAAAGTACCAGAAAGGCAAGGATAAATGAAGAGAAGCGACAAGCCAAAGGCCCCACTTTAAAGTCAGGGTTGCAAAGCCCTCGGCCACCCTCCAATGTGGTCATCATAATAAATGGCTGTGTCATAGCACAGTGGCTGAAAAACAGAAATGCAAAATGACAATCCTTCTTAGATACTACAAGAATTTACCTTATCTCAGAATTAACAAATTAATTCTAAAAAATATATGGCACATCTAAAAATAAGCCTTATGTGCCTATGGGACACACTGAACTTTTACCTGTGTTTCTAACTGTATCTGGTAGAAGAAATACCAGTGAGCACATAGTTTTATTGCAAGTAAGCACAGTCTTTATCCAGATTCAACCTGTTCAACCAATCTATGTTATGGTCACTACTGATACCCTAAAATTCTCTTGTTTTACGTATTACTATACTAGGGGTAAATATATTCACTACTTACCAAGCACACATGATAAAAAAGGAATGCTACATGAAAGGAATTTTTGTTATTCATTACATTTATTCATGGTGTGTGTGTGTGTGTGTGTATGTGTGTGTGTGTGCATATGTGTGTGTATATACACGTGCATGTGCCACAGCACATGTGGCAATCAGAGGACATTTGCAGGAATCTATCTCTCCTTCCACATGTGGGTCCCAGAAGTCGAACTTGGGTCATCTGGCTTGGCATCAAGCACTTGTGCCCACTGAGCCATCTCATTGGCCCAGCGCATCTTTTTTTTTTTTTTTGAAGGCAAATACAATCTGTTCTTATTTGCTTGTTTTAATAAATATTTCTCATAAGTTATAATTCAATAAGTAATAACAGGAAAGTAAAAGAACAGGTCAGAATGACAGAGCTTTACAGGAGGAAGAGGAAAAGGAAGAAAACTAGTACTGTAAACTAATTGTTTTGTTTAGACAGGGTCTTGTGTTGCATGCTGGCCATAAACTCATTATGTAGCTGACAGTGAACTTGAACTCCTGATTATCCTGCCTCCATCTCCCAAGTACCAGGATTAAAGGTACTTTATTATTAAAGGTATTATGTATGTCTTGGACTGAATGTTTCTGTCACAGAAAAAAAAAAATTCTCGTTGAAATCTTAACCCCCAAATTTGAAGGAAGCCTTTGGAAAATGATTAGGTCATGACCCCAGAGCCTTTTCAATGGATAAGTGCACTTCTACAGAGACTGGAAAGGATTTGCTTTCTTGTACTTTGCTCTCAAGTATATGATGACCCAAGACAGTCACTGAAAACCAGGATGTAGGCCCTCACCAGACTAGATCGCCTCGCACCTTGATCCCAAACTTCTACCCTCCACAACTATGATAAATCATTTCCGCTGAGTGAGCTGCCTAGACTTTGGTATCTTTGTTCTAGTGGTCTGAACTAAAACAGAGAACGTAAAAAGTATAAGAACCAGATCATAATAGAAACTGAGTCGAAGAAGTTTGGTGACAAATACGTGGTTTTCTTTCCATTAATCTCATCTGATCTTGCTTCATTTAGAATAAAGCTGTTAGAGATTTATTATGATAAATTTCCAAATGAAGACCATATGATACTTTAGTGTTTATCCAATTGAAATAAATTTGGAGGAGGAATGTATCCCTATAATCATTAAGCAGCTTCTCTCCCTAATTACCCCCTTTCTATCCTTTACTTCTAGTTCAATTTCTCCTTCTAGCTTCCAAATTCTTACCCTTAGCTTCTGTGACAAAAATGGAAAGCTATAGGCTTCCTAGTTTGTCAAAAGATGCCTGGGGTCATCACAGAACATGGAACATACAAAAGCACCTCATCCTTTGTTGAATTAATTGTACATTTATTCCCAGAGTGAAATCATCTACAATAAAGTACGATGATCACATCTGTGTTGGCAACTTTCAAGTCAACACTGAAAGTAATCTAAAACCAAGAGTGGTGTTGCATACCTGTAAACTAGGCACTTGGGACTTGGAGGAAGATCAGAGTTCAAGGCCAGCACTGGACACATAAAACACTGGCTTTAAAAAAAAATGGCTGGCAAGATGAAAGAAGAGAACCAACTGCAGCAGGCTGTCCTCTGAACACCATATGCATGCCATGGCATGCATGCCCACCACCCTCCCTACAAAATAAATAAATAACAAATAAATAGATACATAAATGTATTGCAAAATTGCAAAAGGTAATCTAATTTCTAGATTTCTAAAATCTAACAGCCTAGAAATTAGTTTCAATCAGAAGTTTAATAACTCACACAGAACAGAAAGCTATTTTTCCTCCCTTGATATTACTTAATTTCAGCTCTCAGAAGTAGAATTTATTTCTCCTTCATCTTTTTTGTTATGCAGTATTGGAGTTTTATTAAAGATATTTTAATATAGACTTTAAGCATGCTTGCTACGAGGAAGAGAAATACTCAGAAAGAAAGATACAACCCAGAGCATGGGTGTGAGCTTTTCAAAAAAAGTCACCACTTCAGATTGATGACCTATCTGTCATAAGGGCTCTGGCCTGTCCTTCCTCTGACAGGTCTTGCCAGTTTGCCTTCTCTTCATTCTCACTGTACTAATCTCAGTAACTCATTAGCAGTTTCAATTATAGCTTCTACTGCACAGAAAAATCTCGTCTTTTTAGACACATTTAGATTCACATGTTTCTCATGTGTTTAACTTTCCTGTTTTGTTTGCTTGTTTTTGTTTTTTGAGACAGGGACTCCCTGTTGCTCCAGCTGACCTGGAAAGTACTGTGTAGACTAGGCTGGCTTCAGTCTCACAGATCCAGCTGCCTCTGCTGGGATTAAAGATAGGTGTGTGCCAACAAGCCTGGCTTCTTTCCAGTTTCATATTCCCTTCCTTTTTGAAAAGCATTGTTTCCCTTCTTTATAAGCATATTACAATAATTAGATATTATTTTACTTTTCTTTTTTTCTTGTTTTGGTCTTTTGAGACAGGGTCTTACTTTATAGCCTTAGGTGGCCTAGAACTTGCTATGTATGTAGCCCAGGTTGGCCTTGAACCTGAGGCACTCCTCCTGCCTCAGATCTTGAATTACAGGCATGTGCCACCACACCCAGTATGATTTCCTATTTCTGACACAAGCCTTTTAGTGACTATTGCTTTAGAACACAAATTTTCCTTTTAGGAAGTAGTGATATCATTTATTGCTCAACAAATGTCATATGCTAAGTATGATACTAAAAACTACTCAGGGACATTTACATCTACGAACTGACACCTAAAGGCAATATACCCAAGATTTTGAAGGTTTCAGCACCTGATGGCACAACTAAATCCATATAAGCAACAGCTAAAAGTCTCACGATTCATCTTAATAACTTTAGGAAAGAAATTCAAATTCCTAGAAAGAACAAATATACAAACACTTGATAGATAACTTTGAACACTGGCAATATTGATTCTCCAGGGTAAGAGGGAGAAAGATCTCTTTTAGATGTCAGGAACGCAGGGGTCATAAAACAGTTACGACGATATCCATCCGTTTACGTAATACAATACATAATACAATACATTTATGTAATCAGCAAAAGGAGAGAGCAAGGGACAGAGCTAATTCAATATGTGAATAAATATGATCTGAAAATTGTAAATATAGAAAAGCTAAATATAGAAAAGCTCAGAGGACTCTGGTGCTCAAACCATCAGATTAGAGAAAACATGCATGCAAGGTTTTGCAGACAGATTTTTTAGTGTGACCACTTTGCAAATGGAGTGAGGCCCTGTGCTGAACCTCCATGCATGATGGCTTACCCACAGCATTGTAGAGAGGCTCTCCAGTGAGCTTGTCCCAGACTACTGTGGTTTCCCTCTGGTTGCTGACACCAATGGCTTTAAGGAGAAAGTTAAACAGAAGGAACAGAAAATTAAAATGGCTTCAGGAGATAGCTCTTTTCTTTTCTACATAATTTATTGAGAATTTTATACAGGCATATAAGCATATAAGGTGTTTTGATCAAAACCATGCCCACTCCCTCCTCTCCAACATCTTATCTTTTCTTATAGGAACAAATAAACATAAATTTTTTTAAAAAATGAATTTTTCTTTTGAGACAAGGTCTCCCGTGACCCCAAACCCAGGTAGGCACTCCCAGAACTTATCACCCCTGCCTGCCAACCACCCCACTCACTATGCCACCCTGGGACATTGGGGTCCCCCAGTCCAGCCTCCACTCCACCTACTTCCACCTGAGGTCAGTGTGTGGTATCTTGCACCTGGCCTCCAGGGAACACCATTCACTCCCACTGTGAACCCAGCCCCTGCCACCCAAGTACCACCTATAGTCCAGTGAGCCCTCCATAGACTTCTGGACATTGGCAGTGAGAATCTTCTAACCCTACAGAAGGTTTCCTCATGAGCTTAGAAGTACATCTATCCCTACCTGTGCTGGGACCACTTCTGACACCCCATTCACATATCAACACAGAGCTGCCCCAAGACTGAGCCCAAAGCACCATTCAGGTGGTCTACAACCTGACAAATTGAGCTAACAGCAAATAAGGATCCAAACACCCACACAACAAAGGTGACACCGGATATCCATACCAAGAAAAACCACTAATGGCCCAACTCCAGATGCCTAGGTTTTGTCACAAAATGCAAACAAGATGAATAAACAAGACAATATGTCTCCTCCAGAAATGAGTACACCTATCATAATGGTCCCGGAGAAAAGCAACTTAATTGAGGCACAAGACAATGATCTCAAAATAGCAATTATAAATATGTTCAAGGAACTCAAAGAGGATATACACAAATTCTGGAATGAAGACTGAAAAGACACAAACAGCTGAATGACAAAAAAGCAATTCAAGATGTGAACACAGAATTTAATAAAGAGAATTTCTTTGTTGTTGTTGTTGTTGTTTGAGACAGGATCTCCCTGGAGCTCCAGATGGCTGGGAACTCAGTGTGTAGACCAGAGTGGCCTAGATCTCACTGAGATCTGCCTGCCTCTGCCTCCTGAGTACTGGAATTAAAGTTGTGCACCACCACACTTAGCCTGAGATAGAACTTCTAAAGAAAAGCCAAACTGATACAAAACTTGATATGAGAAATTCAGTCTGTGAAATAAAAACTCAGTGAAAAGCTTCGCCAATAGAATGGATCAGGTGAAAGACTATAAAGGCTTGAAGACAAGAAGATGGAGTGTGCTGGATAACTTCAGCTGTCAACTTGGTAATACCTGGGTAGAGGGAGCCTCAACTTTTCTTCATTGGACTGGCCTGTGTCCATGTCTGTGGGGCATTTTCTTGATTGTTGAGTGATGTGGGAGGGCCCAGCCCACTATGGTGGTGCCACTCCTGGGCAGGTGGTCCTGTATTGTATAAGAAAGTATGCTGAGCATGGGCCAGGGGAGCAAGCTAGTAAGCAGCGTTCCTCCATGTCCTGTTGTGCTTCAGTTCCTGCCACCAGGTTCCAGCCCTGAGCTCCTACTTTGACCTCCATCAGTGATGAACTGTGACCCAGGCGATGTAAGATAAAATAAACCCTTTCCTCCTCAAGTTGATTTTGGTCAGTATATTTATCACATCAAAAAAAGGTAACAAAGATATAGAAGAATAAGCTCACTCACTCAAGCAAAATGTTAAATCTAAAACATCCCAGGAATAGAACATGCAGAAACTGTGGGACACTATCAAGTAAGTTAGACATAAATAACATACAATATCTAAGATTATGAAAAATTTGAGTTTTTAAATTTATTAGAATAGAAATATAAATGTTTACATAAAAAAAACTTAAAAAAGACAAAACCTACCAATCACAGGTATTGAAGAAACCAATACCATCTTATTCAGATCTGTTGCATTCTGCTAAGTCAGAAATTCTCAGACTTGATAGTTCTTTTAGAATCACCTGAGGAATGTTATAAAAAAATACCAATGACCAGCCAGGCCTGGTGGCACATGCCTTTAGTCCCAGCACTTGGGAGGCAGAGGCAGGCAGATCTCTGTGAGTTTGAGGCCAGCCTGGTCTACATAGTGAGTTGCAGGCTAGCTGGGGATGCAGGGATCACAGAGATCTGGCTACTTCTGCCTCCCGATTGCTGGCACTTAAAGGCGTACACCACCATGCCAGGCTCCGCATTGATAGTCTTACTATCACCAGGTGATTCTAATGTGCATCCCAGGTAGAACTCACTGAACTACAGGACTGAGATCTTCCAGAATTTAAATTAGGACATTATAGGCCATATAATCAACAACAACTTACGCTCAAACTATCTATCATGTGATCAACCAGGCAGAAATTCCAGTGACAAGATAATAATTATTACATAATTCAAAGCTGATTGGACAACTTTGGTATTGAAACAAGATTCTAGTTAGGCATGATGGATCACAACTATAATCCTAGCACCTTTGACACTACAGCAGGAAGATTACAAGTTTGAGGCCAGCCTGGGATACAGTGTGAGATCCTGTCTCAAAAAAATATCCTGAGGCATGGAACATAAATCACTGAGAGAATACTTGCCTAACACAAGTGAGCCCTGGTTTTGATCACCAGGAAAAAACACGCATACATACACATATATATGTATATTCTTATTTTATATATAAAATTATATATGTATATATAATTTTCCTTATAGCGTCTAAGTATAGCTATTAACCATATACTTTGGAGAGATATATATGATAATCCTCCTTCCATGTGCCAGGATATCAAAAACTTGAAGTAACTACTTTTCCCTCAAGTCTTCCAGTTGCTTTCAATTCCTTCTGCCTCCATATGGTATGGTGTAAGGTCCATAAATCACTAAAACCTATAATTTTTAAAAGCCCCTTCATTACTGCCTCTAGGAAGATACAACTCTCTGTCTATATTTCAAATCTTGCATCAATAATATACAATACTAACATTCTGAGCAGCGGAGAGCTGAGGGGAACCAACAGAGCCCTTGTTTTACTACTAGTTGCCCAATGAAGATTTACTTATTTAATATATTTTCTAGTTGTAAAAGATTACTGAAATTCTGCTCCAAAGAAACTTAAGAGAAATAGCAATAAGAAAAGATCTTAAGTTTTTATTATTGTTAATTATGGAACACAAAATGTTTGTAGAATGAGCACTGGGGATTTACTGAATTGGTAGAGTACTTCCCCTAGCAAGCAGGAAGCCCTGGGCTCGATCCCAAAAACTGCATAAATCTGAGTGTGGTTGCATATGCCTGTAATCCCAACATTCAAGAGGGAGAAGCAGAAGGACCAGGAAGGAGTTCAAGGTCATCCTTGGCTATGTAGTGAGGTCAAGGAGGACCAGGTCCACATGAAATTCTGCCTCAAAAAAAAAAAAAAAAAAAAACAGAGCCAGTGAGATACCGCTCAGTGGGTAAAGGGGCTTGCCACCAAGTTGACAACCCAAGTTTGTCCCCTGGGACCCATAAGATGGGAGACAACCAAGTCCTGCAAGTAGTTTGCAGAACGCCACATACATACCATGGCAAACATATGCCCACACATATACACAAATAAATAAATGCAGTAAAAAATTTAAAAATGCCAGGTGTAGTGGGTGCATGCCTGTAATCCCAGAACTTGAGAGGTAGAGGCAGGAGGATCAGGGGTTTAGGGTTATTCTTGGCTACATAGTGAGTTTGAAGGCAGCCTAGGCTACATGAGATCCTATCTCCAAAACATCAAAATGTTCCTTTAAAAACATTCATCTAGGGCCTGGAGATATGGCTCAGCAGTTAAAAGCACTGGGTGCTCTTGCAGAGGACTTGGGTTCAATTCCTAGCACCCACATGGTGACTAACAACTGTCCATAGCTCCAGTTCCAGGGGATCTGACATTCTCTTCTGGCCTCCGCAGGCGTTGCATGACACAGGTACACTTACAAGCAGGCAATACACTCATATACATAAAAATAAAACATTCATCTAGCCAGGCATGGTGGTGCACACCTTTAACCTCAACACTCATGGGACAGAGGCAGGTGATTCTCTGTGAATCCTTGTCTACATACTGAGTTTCAGACTAGCTGGGCTATAAGGAGACCCTGTCTCAAAAAAGACAAACCACACAAACCAACTACAACAGCAAAAAAGCCCAAAACAGAAACACTCATGTGCACATGGTGGCCCATGCCTTTAACCCCAGCATTCAGGATAAAAGAGTCAGGAGGATCTCTGGGAGTTTGAGGCCAGCCTGGTCTATATAACAAGTTCCAAACCAGCCAGGGCTATACAGTGAGACCCTATCTCAAAAAAAATTCATTTTTTATTTTAATTTGTGTGTTTACTGGGGGATGGGAGTGGGTATGTGCACATGAGTGCAGGTACCTGTGCAGCCCAGAAGAGGGCGTCAGATCCCACCTGGAACTACAGTTACAGGTAGTTGTGAGGTGCCCACTGTGGGTGCTGGGAACCAAACCTGTGTCCTCTGCCAGAGCAAACTTAACTGCTAAGTCAACTCTCCAGTCCCTGAACCCCCCAAAAAATTTTTAAGAAAATAAAAGGTGTGTCTGGAACTTAACAGGATACCATCCTGATATGTAATAACAGCAGGAGGTCGGGTTCACAGCACAGGAGGCAGGAAGAAGTAGGACAAAAGACTCCCCTTGTGAAGGGGTGGAGTCATGAGATCCATGTGTTATATACAGGGACAAGAGGTGAAGAAATTAAGGTCTCAGAACCTCCACTACTTCTGATGTAGCAGGCAGGTTACAGACTGAAATAGGGTCATGTAAATGAGTCCGGTAGTATATACCTGTAGTCTTAGCACTGAAGATGCTAAGGCAAGATCATTGAGAATTTGAGGCCAGCCCAGACTACATAGCAAAACTATGTCATGGAAGATTATTCAGTGGAGCTTAGGCTCTC